GTGGGCGCCACCGCCAGCAGCATCTGCAAGGTGAGCCGACGCCCTGCTCGCTGCGTCTGCTGCTTCTGAGGTGGGCACGCCAACAGGACACAGGGACACGTTTCCTCAGATTTGAGAACGAAGCAGGAATCCGGTGCGAGGCGGGGTCGTGTCTGGGCAGCCTGTGCCTGCGACCGTGTGGAGGCGCTCGGGTGTGGCTTTTCTCCTTAGAAGTCCTCGGTGTGGAGCAGAGACCCGTGTCTTCCTGCGTCCCCGTCCTTCCTCAGTGAGGGACCCCGGCCCAGGGCGTGTGGCGCGGGTGGTGAGGTTTGACGTGTGCCCTGAGACGGCACACAGCCAGCAAGCGTGCCGTCTCCCGGGCGCCCTCTGCCCCTCCCCGTCACCTCCGCTCTCCCCGCGCGTCAGCTACGCTTTCTGTGGACAGACTCAGTGCGCCCTCTGGGCGGCTCCTGTCACTCATGTAGTTCCTTTGAGACCCACGCAGGCCACAGCTGCATGGGTGGTACGTTTCTTCGTGGTTGCGTGGCTTCTGCCATGGGCCAGGTCCACCTGCTTGTTGTTGCCTCTGGTGGGCCCTGAGGGGCACCTGCCTCCACTCCTCCTGGGGGCGGGGCCTCCGCACGGGCCTGGCTGTCTTCTGACCACTCTCCTCCCGTCCTGTGCACGTCTCTCAGGCTCCACGCACAGCCTAGGCTTCCCCGCTCGCCAGGTCGTTTCGGCAGAAGTGAGAGCTTTTGTTCTGTGGAAAGGGGTTGACTGTGTGTGTGTGTGTGTGTGTGTGTGTGTGTGTGTGCGCGCGCGCGCGCGCGCTTGTCTAGAAACCTTGGCTGGGGCTTGCCGACCTGCAGGGACGCTGGGGGAAGGAAGGCTTCCCTGGTCACTGCTGGCCTGCCCGGTCCTGGAGGACGGGGACCTTGGCCCCCGGACCCCGCACGCCCCGTGGTGCCCTGTTGCAGCTCCTTCAGGGGCACAGGCTCTGGGCGGGCAGTGAGGAGTGCAGGCAGCAGCCCAGCCTCTGACCCCTTCCTCCCAGCTGGATGTGCTCACACACCGCTTCATCACCCTCCTCGCCGACACCAGCGACTCCCGGGCGTCCGAGAGCCGCGTGGCTGACGCCAACATGGCCTGTCGGAAGCTGGCGGTGGCTCACCCCCTCCTGCTGCTCAGGTACGGCCTCCCCACTCCCGATGCCGTTTGAGAGCAGGTCTGGGCTGACAGCTGATGCGGGCACATGCACAGCCTGGCCAGGCGCTAGAGCCCAGCAGCTGGGCCTCGGCGGGAGGGCAGGG